TTGCTCAGACATTAAAGATCCTGGGTTTAAGTGAGCTGAATAAACTACACCATCTCATGAAATTTTCTCAGGAAGCTAGTGCTTCTCGTTAAAGACTTACTGGGCCGAGTGTGATGGCTCACGCCTATAATCGCTGCACTTTGGGAGGCTGAGGTGGGTGGATCACTTGAGGTCAGGAGTTCGAGATGAGCCAAACCAACATATAGTAAAACTCCATCTCTACTAAAGATATAAAAACTAGCCAGGCATGGTGGCACACGCCTGTAGTTCCAGCTACTTGGAAGGCTGAGGCAGGAGAATCACTTGAACCCAGGAGGTGGAGGTTGCAATCAGACAAGATCACACCACTGTACACCAGCCTGGGGTACAGAGTGAGAGTCCATCTCAAAAAAAAAAAAAAAAAAAAGACTTCCCATGTAATTCCTTTTAAATCTCCTCCAACAGACCTGTAAGCTTTTATGTTAAACTTTTCCAAAACACTTGGTAAATCTTATGAATGGAAAAAAATGGGGAAAAGATTTAAATTTTTTTTTTTTGGAGACAGTCTCGCTCCGTTGACCGGGCTGGAGTGCAGGAGCGCAACCTCGGCTCACTACCACCTCTGCCTCCCAGGTTCAAGCAATTCTCTGCCTCAGCCTCCCGAGTAGCACGGCTTAAGAACAAGTTGCAGTCATAATACCCCTTTACTCGTTAATACTTCAGAATATATTTCCTAGGAGGAAGATTATTCTTTCTCCGCCACCAAGCCCAGCTAATTTTTGTATTTTTAGTAAAGATGGGGTTTCACCATCTTGCCCAGGCTGGTCTTGAACTCCTGACCTCGTGATCCACCCACCTCAGCCTCCCAAAGTGTTGGGATTACAAGTATGAGCCACTGCGAAGGCAGAAACAGTCTGTACCTAAAAGTACTGCCTCTATATGTAAGAAAGCAACTATAATATACTTTATAAAAATGATGAGAATAAAATCATCTATTTCTAAATTACATGGAAATCAAAAAGGCTCTTCGAGTAACTAAAATATTTTCCTGTTTAAATACAGGTATGATTTAACTGGGTTTTACTGCTCAGTCTCACAATGGGAATACTGTACAAGTTGTAAAAAAAGGAACTTAGTAAACAAGAGATTATCACAAAGTGATACATAATTACTTTTATGTAATTAAACAAAAATTAATTTTATATAACAAAAAGTTAAAGTTTTAAAAGTTACTTTAACCACATATAATAATATAAATATCTCCAAAAAAAGAAATTTATACTTTTTTTCAAATTTATTAATTTTTTTCCCCCTGTTTTGACTTCCTGCCTTCTTTTCCACCTTTACTGGGGTATAATTGACAGTTAAAAATTCTAAGGCTGTGCATGGTTGCTCATGCCCGTAATCCCAGCACTTTGAGAAGCCAACGGGGATGCACTGATTGAGCCCAGAAGTTTAAGACCTACAAGGGCAACATAGTGAGACCCTGTCTCTAGAAAATATTTAAAAATTAGCCATGCATGGTGGCACATGCCTGTAGTCCCAGCTACTGGGGAGGCTGCAGTGGGAGGATCACCTGAGCCCAAGAGGCTATGGTTGCAGTGAATGAAGATCGTGCCACTGCACTTCAGCCCGGGCCAAAGTAAGGTGCTATCTCCAAAAAAAAACCAAAATACCTGTGTGTGTGTGTGTGTGTGTGTGTGTATATATATATAATAAACACTGTGACACTTTGATATATACTGTGAAATGATTACCACTATCAAGTTAATTAACATATCCATTACCTCACACAGTTAGCCTCTTTTTTTTTTTTGAGTCAGGGTCTCTGTTGCCCAGGCTAGAGTGCACTGCCGCCTCAAACTTCTAGGTTCAAATAGTCCTCCTGCCCCAGCCCGTCCGGAGCAGCTAGGCGCACGCCATCATGCCCAGCTAATTGTGGTAAAAACATGTAAGACCTGTCTATTTAGCAAATTTCAAGTGTAAAGTTTCTGAACTTATCAAGCTCTGTACACTGAAATACCCTTTAACCGCTTAACTCTCTTATGCCTTATTTCAGAAGTCTTTTCACTTCACAGCCCCAAAAGTTGCCTGGCCCATAGGAAACACCCACCAAATCAGGTATACTACATGAACCAGAAAAAAACAAGAACTTATTTAAACTATTAACTAAATTAGTAGTTGACAAGGACCTAAATATATCTGGTCTTTTATTACTGAGATAATAATTAGGCCAGGATTTTGCCTAATATTTCAAGATAATCAATATGTATTCATTATTTATTATGGCTGTATTAATGACCACTGTAAGTCGGATACTATCAACACAAAATAAGGTACAGTTCCTATCCTCAAGAAACTCAGGCCTGTATAAGGGATAGAGATGTAAACAAATAAAATGTAATCATGCTATAACAAATATATGTAAAAGGTTTGGGAAAGCAGACACCACGTTTCTTGTTCACTACTAATACATGCTAGAACACAGCAGATGCTCAATAAAAATTTCATAATGTTAGTCACCAATTCGGCTTGAGAGAAAAATCAGAATGTGTTCACAGGAAAGAATCAACTTGAGCTAAGTCTTAAAGAAAATTGTCGTTCAGGCCAGGCGCAGTGGCTCACACCTGTAATCTCAGCACTTTGGGAGGCCGAGGCGGGAGGGTTGCTTGAGCTGGCAGTTTAAGACCAGCCTGGGCAACATGGCAAAACCCTGTCTCTACAAAATATTTTTAAAACATTAGCCAGGCATGGGGGCACACACCTGCAGTCCCAGCCACTCAGGAGGCTGAGGAAGGAGAACGGCTTGAGCCCAGGAGGCAGAGGTTTTGCAGTGAGCTGAGATCATGCCACTGCACTCCAGCCTGTGTGACAGAGGGAGACTCTGTCTCAAAAACAAAAAAAAAAGAAAGAAAAGAAAATTTAGTTCAGCAGATGGGTAATGAGGACACCAATTTAGAAGCAACTCCACACCTTCTGTATCACTATGCCCTTTATTCAATTACAGCCAGATGTCTTAAATTTCTGAAGATCACAGTAGATACTATGGTAGTTTTAAAATATATCCACAAATCACTTGAGACTCCTCCCTCCAAAGGGTGGGATATAATTTCCTTCCCCTTCAATGTGAGGCAGGTTTTTTTGTTGTTGTTGGTTTTTGTTTGTTAGTTTTTCCATTTTTGTCTGAGGAAGTGAGGCAGTTAACTGCCTCCCTTCTAACAAATACAATGTGACAAAAATGACAGTGTCTGATGTCTGAGATTAGGACATAATGAGATTATGGTTTCCTCCTTGCACTCTTGCACATTCTCTCTGTCCGAAGGATGCCAGATGCTACACCCAAGGGCACGTAAGCAGCACAAGAAGTCCATGTGGACAGAAACAGAGAGCCAGTTGCACACAAAAGGCCCAAACGGTCAACAGCTGTGGATCCTTCCACCTCAATCTAGGTTTCAGAATCAAGGTTTCAGGAGATTGCCATTTGGAATTATTAACCAGCTAAGCCCTTCCCAGATTCCTTAATCACAGAAATATAAGATATAGAATAATGGATAAAAGGGGACAAAAGGAGATTTTGTTTTGTTGTGAAATGAGGAATAACTTGTCCAAGTTAATACGCTGACAAAAGGGGACTGTGAAAATATATGTATATAGATGTACAAGATTTACTAATAGATAACAAGCTCCCATTCTGTGCAAAGTGTTACAGTTAAAACAAAGATACCGTCTCTATCTTCAAGTCTAGTAGAGGAAACAAATATAAACTAAATGAAAATATATTCCAGCATATAACACATGAGTAAATATCAGGTACACAATTCTTGAGTATGTGGCATGTCTAATATTAGCTAATGTTTAATGTTTCTTGTGTTTTAAGTCATGCTTACCTGATTACTAATATTAGTATTTCTCTTAATGGGACATAAAAGTGAAGGCCTTTGGAATCCAGATTTTTAGGGTAGATCTAGCACCATCACAAAACCTCCAGCTAAATTTTCACATGTAATTCTTAGGGACTGTTTTCTTGCGCATAACCATGGCTAAATAATTTTGTTCTCTCCCTTTCACCTACTTACATTGCAGAGAACTTACATTTAAAGGCCAACATCACGGGTGAAGATGAATTAACATCCTTCCCTTCTCTTCTTTGGTTATGTGGGAAATTGTCATGCTTCCTTTTCCTGAACCCTCCTGATCCTTATGTGGAGAAGAAAAAAAGTTAGAGAAATCTTCCATCACCAAGAGTTTGCAAAACAGAACGTCGGCAAACCTCCACCTCCCTTTAAAACCAGATACCCACAGGGCCCTCGACTTAAGAGGCTTTCTCCGCAGACTGAGAGAGATGCTGCCCAGGCCTTTCCAAGCAAACCATCCAAGCCTCCACCAAGTGGTGCTTTGGTCTGGCATTACAGTAATTACTGAACTAGCATAAAATTACACCTCGAAGATTTAACAAAAAGGGAGGTGTAAACAGGGACAATCCGGCCGGGGAGAGAACCAGGGCTGCCGTCCCCGAGTCTGCAAGGGACGAAGGCATCCTCCAAGGGTGAAAAGGGGAAAATCGCCTAAAAAGATTGGAGAACCTCCCCCTCTGGATAAATAACGCCCCATGTTGTTGAGGACGCCACCTTCTTTGTTGCTCATGTCGTCACAGCCTACAGTGAGACAAGCGGAGACTGAAGGACCTGGAGCGAGAGGACGGCGCAAAGTGCAGGCCGACCGAACCCAGAAAAACAGCTAGCGGAGGCGCCCTTTGCAGCCTGGCCGACTACTACTCAGTGGCCGGAAGTAGCCCCTCGCCTACTTCCGGCCTGCGTCCGGGGTCCCACCGCCTCTGGCTCCGCCCCCCGCGTGGTCGGGGGACCCCGCGCGCGCGTGCTTTCGCGGCCGCCCTCTGCTGTGCCTGAAGACACAAAAGCGACTCTACACACCTCACGGCATGCACTATTAATAAAAAGACGATGCGACCTCCTGGAGCTGAGATCTGTGTGATCGTGGGAAAGCGACAAAAACGTTCGTAATTATTTTCTGAAGGCACCTTCGGGACACTTACCCTTCCCTCAGCGGGGGCCCAACTTCGCGCGCGGTGCATCGTAGGGGTTGTAGTTCGTCCGCGGGAGCGGGCCCTCTGGAGCCCCAGCCAGAGGTGTGAGAAAGAAGCGAGCCCTCGAGTTCCTCGGGGCATCTGGGAAGGTCTTTTCAGGATCCAGGCAGAAATTTACAGAGCTAGGAGTTTATTTTAACTTTCCCAGGCGCTTTAAGGGATGGAGATATGCGAGTCATTCAGTGGATGGTGTTAGTCCTGTTTTCTCTCGTGAAGGCCTGCCCTTCGAGTCTCTTCCCACCTTTTCCCCTGCCCGTCTCCCACCTTCTCCCTTCTCCACCGACCTCTGTACCCTCCTCCCCACTGGCTCGCAGAAGCCAAACAGCCTGTGTTCAGTTTGCCTCCACAGAGTGGTTGGGCGACCTTGATGAAGTAAGCAACCTCTGTGCCTCAGTTTCCTTATCTGTAACATAGGGATAGAATAGTACCCGCCTAATAGGGTTATTTGAGGATGAAAGGAGTTAAGGCTCGTGAAGACGTTCTTTCACATATAAATGCTCAATTAAATATTAGATGCCGTACTCCTCTTCCATCAGGGCTCTCTCAGACAATACGACAGAGAGAAAGGTAAAAGCAGGTGTGTTCCACTAAACTGTGGGCCTTTCATTATGGGCAGGTACTGTGTCATATCTAGACTTTGTGCCCACCCTAGCCCCAGTGCTTCTCAGCGCTGTGATCCTGCGCCTTGTAAGCCTCTATCAATGTTTCTTGAAGAATCATGTTTCTGGCATCAGGATGGGTAAGTAGGTGGCAGTTCAGCACCCCCTAGAGAGAAACTCAGGCCAAGGTTTGGTAAGTGGGGTGCCCTAGGCCTAGTAGAGAAAACACAAGTACATTTTAAGCTTTCTCCAAATAATCTGTATATTGTAGTCATGTGTTGTACACACAGTCTTTTCTTCTTGTAATTTAGGAACAAAGGAACAGTAAATGAAATAACTTGGCTAGAATATGGCAGTAACTACAAGGCACAGTCTGCTGTGGCAGGAAGGTCACCACCACTCATACCTCTGCAGCTCTGTGAATACATGAATTAACTGAACAGATTCCTTGAGGATAAAGTAGGCTCCTGGGGCCCCTGCTTGTTGGACTACTTGCTTTGCGGATGTTGAACAGATAATTCTCATGAGTTTGAGTGACGTCTGATCTACCGGTATTCCCCCTACTCTGATTAGAAATCACTTGACCATGCAAAAAAAAAAAAAATAAGGCAGCTCTGATACAAATTTAGCCATTTTAATGTGACTCCCTCTAGATCAAGGAAGCCAGTACTTATGAACACTTTCAGAGTCAATTCTTACTTTACTGTATCATAGTCGGAGAAAGGGGTATTTTTTTTAACTCTCCTGGAATAGCAAGATCTCAACTTTCCAAAACCGGAATCAACTATATTTCTTTTCTTTCTCCAGCCACTACTCCCCTAGCCTGTTCAACTACAGCTATGTTACCTGAACTGCTTTCCACTCTTTACCATAATTGTAATGATTAGAACACTAAGTTTCACAACCTATAAAGACTTCTGAAAGTATTTAAGGGAGGTGAATCCCAGGATCACTTTCCCAGCACTTATTTGCATATGCGTTTACCCCAGGCTCCCCCAGGTGTCCCAACTCGTAGCTACTCCTTCCTCGGGAAATAGATTTCAACGTCCGTAGCAACCTGCATCCCTTCTCTGTCTCCTTGTTTTATTGCTTCAGATTCAAACACATAGTTTTGGTACTTGGCAAATGGTTTTTGGTTTGTTTTTTAAAGGAAGACTACCACCCCAACTCAGGGAGAGGAAGGTAAAGATTTTTAGTAAGATTTCACCTCTGATGTTGTTTTTACTTGTTACTGTTGCTATTTTTTTTTTTTTTTCCAAGATACGGTTTCACTCTGTCACCCAGTACGAAGTACATGGCTCCCTCACTACAGCCTCGACTCCCCGGGCTCAAGTGATCCTCTGACTATGGCGGCATGCTACTAAGCCAGGCTATTTTTTTGTTTTCTGTATTTTGTGGAGACAATGGGGATTCGCCATGTTGCCCAGGCTAGTCTCAAAATCCTGGGCAAGTGATCCACCTGCCTAGGCTTCCCAAAGTGCTGGGATTACAGTGAGCCACTGTGCCTGGCCTCCTGTTGCATTCTAATTGCCTGTATTTGACTCTGAATAAAGCACTAAGCCTTTCAATTGCACTGTTGTTACTCAGTTCATAAATCCTCTCATTGGTCACCCTTAGATTAAAATCACATATCTAAACTGGTTTGAGAAGCCAAGGCAGGTGGATCATTTGAGGTCAGGAGTTCAAGACCAGCCTGGCTAACATGGTGAAACGCTGTATCTACTAAAAAGTACAAAAATGGCCTGAGCATGGTGGCATGCACCTGTAATCGCCAGAGGCTGAGGCAGGAGAATTGCTTAAACCCAGGAGGCAGAGGTTGCAGTAAGCCGACACTGTGCCACTGACCTCCAGCCTGGGCCACAGAGCAAGACTTAACCTCAAAAACTGGTTTTGGATATTGAAAGAAAATCATAGCCGGGCACAGTGGCTCACTCTGGTAATCCCAGCACTTTGGGAGGCCAAGGCGGGTAGATCACAAGGTCAGGAGATCGAGACCATCCTGGCTAACACTGTGAAACCCCATCTCTACTAAAAATAAAAACAAAAAAATTAGCCGGGTGTGGTGGCACCTGGTGGGCCTGTAGTCCCAGCTACTTGTGAGTCTGAGGCAGGAGAATTGCTTGAACCTGGGAGGCGGAGGTTGCAGTGAGCCAAGATTGTGCCACTGCACTCCAGTTGGGCGACAGTGAGACAACATCTCAAAAAAAAAAAATCATATATTCACATAAAGAGAAGAAGATAATTAAGAGATTCTCTGTTTCAGCATTTCCCTTATTTAGTTATTACATAAATAACTAAATCCTGGGATAGGAGAGATCATGGAGAATTGTAAGAATCTAGAGTTTCTGTTCTTTAAAAGATAACCATAATATTTAAAAGATATCTATGGGGTCCAAAGTAGTTTTGTGAAGTGTACATATTACCTTTATTGTAAATAAATTAACAGCTTTATTTTTCAAGCAATACTAGGATGTAGTAGGAGAAAAGGATGTTCTAGTTTTATAACAGGAGAGGGAAGCTGGTATTGAAGAAGTAAAGAATGATGGATAAAAACCATAACGAGATGTCACTTCAAATCCCCTAGGATGACTATATTTAAAAGGAAGACAGAAAACAATAATTGGTGAGGATATGAAGAAATTGGAGCCCTGATCAATTGCTGGTAGGAATGTAAAATGGTACACCCACTCTAGAAGACAATTTGGCAGTTCCTCAAAGAGTTGGACATGGAATTACCGTATGACCCATAAATTCCACTGTGAACTATATACCTTGAACACAAATGTTCATGGCACCGCTACTCACAATAACCAAAAAGTAGAAATAACCCAAATGTTCATCAGTAGATAAATGGATAAACAAAACCATATATCATTTGGCAGTAAAAAGGAATGAAGTGCTAACCATGCTGCAACATGGATGAAACTTGAGAACATGCTGAGCGAAAGCAGTCACAGAAGACCACTTACTGTATGATTCCATTGATACAAAATGTCCAAAAGTAGATTCATGGTTGCTTAGGGTGGGGGCTATGGAACAGTGAGGTGGAGGGGTGACAGCTAAAGGATGTGGGGTTTCTTCGTGTGGTGATGGAATGCTCTTAAATTAACAGGGGTGATAGTTTCACCTATCTGATATACTACAAATTATTGAATTAGTTTAAATGGTGAATTACATGTGAGTTATATTTCAATCAAGCTGTTAAAACAAGTTTTTAAAAGAGTGGTAGGAAACATTCCTTTCAAGTCTTATAAATATACTGTATGTATATGTACATTTACTGTATACATGTAAATATATAGATAATTCTATGTTATTATTAGGGAAAAGTATTTTTAATACTCCATAATGAAAAAGTATGTAAAGTACTTTATAGGTATGACAATATTTCAACAAATATTGTTGTGTCTGGTTTATTCCTGACAATGTGATTGCTGCCATAGAGGACACAAACATTTACTATCTCAACTTCTCCCATTCTTCTTGATCTATCTCGAATCAGGCTTTCACCCCACCACTCCTCAAAAACTGCTGGGGATTTTGCAGTGACTTCCACATTGCTAAATCTGATGGTCAGTTCTTACTCTTCATCTCACTTGACCCTGAAGCAGCATTTAAAACAGTTGTCATTCCCTGTGTCTAGAAACCACATTCTCTTGACTCTCCTTCTATAATACCTAAGTAGCCACTTCTTCCTAGTCCTTTATGGTTTCTCCTTACCTCCCCAAACACTGAATTGCTCCAGAAGTCCTCCTATCTTCTCTACTACACTTACACTCTTTTTGAACCCATTCGTATGGTTTTAAATGCCATCTGTAATCTAACAATTTCCCCGCTTTATATCATCAGTTTAGAAAACACATATATTCAGTCCAAACTCACATCAAAGTACCTACTTAGTATATTCTCTTGAGTGTCTAACGTGCTTCTCAAAATTAACATGTCTAAAACTGAACATAACCGTCTTCCAAAACCTACTTCTTCAGCAGTGTTCCCTATTTCAGTTAATTTCTATTCTTCCAGCAGAACAGACTAAAACCTAGAGTCATCTTAGACTCCTTTTTCTTTCACATTCGATATCCTATTTGCTATGCACTGAACTGTGACCACCCTCCCCAAATTCATGTTAAAGCCTAACCCTTAGTGTGACTCTAATTGGAGACAGGACTTTTAGGAGAAAAGTAAGGTTAAATGAGGTCATAAAGGTGTTGTTTTGATCCATTAGGATTGGTGGCTTTATAAGAAAAGATCTCTTTCTCTGTCCATGCACATACACCAGGAAAGGCTATTTGAAGACAGAGCAAGAAGAGCTTGGTTATCTACAGGCCAGGAAGAGAGTCCTCACCAAAACATAATCATGCTGATACCCTGATCTTTAACTTCCAGTCTGTGCTGTTGAGAAAATCAACTTCTGTTGTTGAAGCCACCCAGTCTGTGCTACTTTATTATGGCAGCTTGATCTACCTTCAAAACATATTCCGATTACAACCAGTCTCCCCAAATTCTGTTAGTACCTTAACTCAAGTTACTGTCATCTCTCACTTGAAATCGAGCAGTATCCTCCTAACTACAGGTGTCAGTCTCTTCATTGAGATGCAGTCCATTTCCCCTCTTGAAACTGAGCTGGCCTTTTGGCTTGCTTTGACCAATAGATCTACCATTTGTTAACATCGTTTTGTCCTCTTTTCTGCTCAGAAACAGATTAGGCACGGTTCTGCCTCAAGGCCTTAGAACCATCTACTCTGTCTGCTTGGATTATTCTCCCCACAGATTTCTTGCTTCCTTCTTCCTTCATGAAGAAATGTCACCTCATTGAGGCCTTCTGTAGTAGCCCAAATAATGGCCTTCAAAGATGTCCACATCCTTATCCCCAGAACCTGTCAATGTGTTATCTTAATGGCAAAAGTGACTTTGCAAATGTGATTATATTTAAGGATCTTGAGGTCAGAATTATCCTGGATTATCCAGGAAAGCCCAGTATAATCACAAGGGTCCTTATAAGTGCAAGGGGGAGGCAAGAGAGAGAAGGAGATGTCATAATGAAGACAGAGTCAAGTGATGAAATTGCTGTCTAGGGTAGAGGTGGAGGTGGAGGGGGCATGATCCAAGGAATGCAAGAAGCCTCCAAAAGCTAGAAAATGTGAGGACACAGATTCTCCCCTAGAACCTCAGGAAGAAACCCGCGTTTACTGACCCTGATTTTAACCCAGTAAGTCCCTTTTCAAAATGGTAAGATAACAAATTTGTGTTGCTTTAAGCCAACTGAGTTTGTAATAATTTGTTATAGTAGCAATAGAAAACTAGCACACCTTCCTAGCCATCCTATCTAAAATGGCAGCCCATGTCCTTCCTGGCACTTCCTATCTCCCTTCCATGTTTTTTTTAAATCATATATATAATGTATTGTACTATTTTACTCACTGTCTTTTCCACTGGAAAGCAAACTCCATGTAAATAGGGATTTGTCTGTTTTATTCTTTGTGATATCTCCACTGTCTAGGATAGCATCTGCACATAATGCACACTCAGTACACACTTGTCAAATGAGGCCGGGCGTGGTGGCTCACGCCTGTAATCCCAGCACTTTGGGAGGCTGAGGTAGGTGGATCACCTGATATCAGGAGCTCAAGACCAGCCTGCCTAACATGGTGAAACCTCGTCTCTGCTAAAAATACAAAAGTTGGTTGGGCATGGTGGTACATGCCATGGTGGTACATGTATTCCCACCTACTCAGGAGGCTGAGGCAGGAGAAACTCTTGAACCCAGGAGGTGGAGGTTGCAGTGAGCCAAGATTGTACCACTGCACTCCAGCCTGGCCAACAGAGTGAGACTCTGTCTCAAAAAATGAAAAGAAAAAAATACATATTTGTTGAATAAATGATATGCAAATATATTATCCCTATCTGTAGCTTACCTTTTTATTATAATAACTTTGGTTGAAATGAAGTTTTAAAATTTTTAATATAATCAAATGTATCAGTCTTTTCAATTTGTATATTTTATGCTTTGTTTAATCAATTCTTATATCAAAATTATAAAAGTATTACCTTGTAGTTTCCTATAAAAGTTTTAAAACTTTTCTTTTTCCACTTAGGTGGTGAATCCACTCGGAATTGGCATTATATATTGGTAAATGATTGTCTCAGGACCACATATTAAATATTTTATCATTTCTCCACTGATTCGTAACAATGCAGTGGTTATATATCCCATTTATATATGGGTCTATCTCTTGGTTTCCTGTTCTGTTCCAGTGGTCTGTTAGCTTACCCTTCTACCAATAGCACGTTGCCCTAATTACTATAACTCTATAATATGGCTCAATCTCTGGAAAGCCACATACCCCTCCCCTCCTCTTTCTACAATATTCTTTTTTTTTTTTTTTGAGACGGAGTTTCGCTCTGCCACCAGGCTGGAATACAGTGATGTGGGACTACAGGTGTGAGCCACCATGCCTGGTCTACAATATTCTTATATTTTGCAACTGGCCTTTACTCTTTTGTATTAGTTTTAACAATACCTTACTACCCTCATACATAAAATGCTCTTAGCATCACTATTTATAACATCTAAAAATTGGAAATTATTTAAATGTCCACCAATACATTAGTTAAATAAATTAGGAGCACAGTGGCTCATGCCTGTAATCACAGCTCTTTGGGAGGCCAAGGCGGTTGGATCATGAGGTCAGGAGTTCAAGACCAGCCTGGCCAAGATGGTGAAACCCCATCTCCACTAAAACTACAAAACTTAGCCAGGCACAGTGGCAGGTGCCTGTAATCTCAGCTACTTGGGAGGCTAAGGCAGGAGAATCACTTGAACTTGGGCAACAGAGGTCACAGTGAGCTGAGATCGTACCACTGCACTCCAGCATAGGTAACAGAGTGAGACTCCATCTCAAAAATAAATAAATAAATTAGGTTATACTCACACAGTGCAATAAGATACTGACTTCAAAAGAATGAGGCAAATTTACATATTTACATTAAAAGGTATTCAGGATATCTCATCACAAAAAAAGGGCAAGTTGCAAAATGGTATTTAGAGTAAGAAGCTATTCATGAATTTTTTTAACATGTAATTTGGGTTACATGTAGAAAAGAATATGGGCAGGAATACACCAAAATGTTAACAGTGGTTATATCTGGGGTTCAGGAATAGGGAGAACATATACTTTCTAGGGTATGTATTCCTATAATGCTTGGATATAACAATAACCAACTATTACTTTTACAATAAAATATATAGGTTTTAACTTTGGTTGTAAAGACTTGAAGCAAATATATCACAATGTTAAGTGTGTGTTTTTCTGATAAAATTATGAGAAGTATTATTTTTATTTTTGTTTTCCAAATTGTTTATAATAAATTACATTATAATAAAGGTGGAAGCATTATTTAGAAAAATATTAACAGTGTTTTTGAATATTGGGGCATAGTGATTTTTTCCTTCTCTACAGAGCTCAAGTTTTCTATGACAAGTTTATTGCTTATATGCCATTCTGCTTAGCATCCCTTCCTTGAATGAATCACCCCTTCATACTCTCCTGGTAAATTGACCGTCAATAGTTCTGGTATGGCTGCCATTTGAAGGATCTTCCCATTCCAGACATAGACTTTGCAAGTGAAGAAGTGATAGAACAAGGGAGAAGAGCATTCATAAAGGAACACTGGCTTGAGACCCTCATTTGTCTCTTTAGGGCTCCTCAAACTGCTAACCCAGTGGTTCTTAGCAAAAGGTGATTCTCCTCAGAGATGTTTGGCAATGTCTGGGGACCTTTTTAGCTGTCCTAACTGAGGAGTGGGAGTAGGATTGCTACTAATATCTAATGAATAAAAGCCAAGGATACTGCTAAACATTTTACAATGCACAAGACAACCACCCACACACAACAAAGAATTTGTCAGTCCCAAAAGTCAATAGTGTGGCAGCTGAGACACTCAGGGCTAACTGACCTTGGCTACCAAAAGGAAAGGAAACAGGATCACTGTTTCACACAGAAGCTGGGAGAAGTACAGCTGGACCACAAGAGATCCCCAAGGGTCCTTTGTTGTGTACCATGTGCAGTGGTGAAAATTATCAGCTGACTGTAGCAACGCACTGCGAGCAGGACCACTAAGGATTCGATCCCTGCAGAAATAAAGGTGTGTGATGACCCATCAGGCAAAGAACTTCAAGCAGCTTCAGTGTGAGCCAAAGATAGGCAAAACATAAAATAGGTGGTAGGGAGGAAAATATCAGTTGTGGCCTCAAGACCAGCTGTATAAACAACTCTAGGCTCTCCCTCTATTTCTTTGCCTGCTGCATCTTACATTAACATTTTTACCCTTTTCTTTACCATGCAATTGTATCTGTGGTATAATGGTGGTTGTTATCTTTGTTGTTTGTCCATAATTATGGAGAAAATAATGACCGTGAGCTAGGATAGAAATGAACTAAGAGGATCTTAAACTCAGGGAATAGTGGCCTGTGGGAGATTTTTATTTCTGTTTCCATTGAGTGGTACAAAAATTCATTTCTAAAGAGGAATTTTCCAAGAAATTGAACGTCTCCAGGTGCCTAAGAATAGATATCATAAACTTTGGATGGAACAGAAGACAAAAAGATATCTGCATGTAGATAACTGATAGATACAGAGAATTAAGGACCTCACTAATGACGTTCATAGAAAATTTTAAATGCTAATGAAACCAGAGTTAGGTAGGAGCTGTTAACCTTTAAAATAATTAACAATGAGGAATATACTTTACTTCTTAAATTTCTTTTGTCGTTTTGGGGGGAGTGGGGGAGCCAACAGCTGCATTTTCATAATAATCTCTATGTATAAAATCACATGAATAGATTTCAAGAGTTGTACTTAGGTAAATAGCATCTTTCTCTTATCAAAATGACTTTTTCTATTTAGATCAGTTCAAATCCCTTAATAAATTCCTTTTCTGATAAATTAGTTAGAAAGGATTGTAAAGTTGCAATGAAAAACTCTTAATTGGTATAAAAAGTGTTATGAAGAAGAGTTTCAAGTCACAGATTTTCAAGGAAGTGGCTATTGAGCTTAATTGAATCTGAAGATACTGAGGATTCAATGAGAGTGTTTCCCAGGTAGATTATAGAATATGGAGGCAAAAGAGTTATTTGTTATTTCCTATGCCAACTATAATGAAGTGCCTGTTGAAGGAAGGTTTTGAGGGACAAGTAGCATGGTTCCTTAAGTGCCGCCGAACTTTAAAGGAAGATAATGACAGGCTTAAGATAAAAATTGTTGGCTGCGCATAGCACGGTGACTCACACCTGTAATCCTAGCACTTTGGGAGGTAGCGGTGGGCGGATCAGCTGAGGTCAGGAGTTCCAGACCAGCCTGGCCAGCATGGTGAGACCCCGTCTCTACTAAAAATACAAAAAATTGGCTGGGTGTGGTGACTCATGCCTGTAATTCCAACACTTTGGGCGGCTCAGGTGGGCAGATCACTTGAGGTTTGGAGTTCGAGACCAGCCTGACCAATAGGAAGAAACTTCATCTCTACTTAAAAAATATATATATATACAAAATTAGCCAGGTGTGGTGGCTCATGCCTGTAATTCCAGCTACTCGGGAGGCTGAGACAGAAGAATTGCTTGAACCCAGGAGATGGAGGTCACCATTGCACCCCAGCCTGGGCTACAAAAGTGAAACTCTGTCTCAAAAAAATTTAAAAATTAAAAAATATTGTTTGCTTCAGAAAACCAAGAGCTGTCTTTAACTGCTAAGAAAACGTTTAGCTTACTAGCCTCAGAACTGAAGTAACAAAATCAAACTCAAAATTTGAATCTGTGGACTGTAAAATTGCAGAATAAGTTGCATTTGCAGCATTATCAGATCTCATGCAAAATCAGTGCAGCGACTGGGGCAGAGTGGAAGACCCTGAGAATTGAAATGAGGAAATAGAGGAGAATTGGGTGACTGAGGCTACTCCAAACTCCACTGAGCATTCCTTGCAAGATGGAATTTCCTAACCCATACATCTAGTGAGGCTGTTCTTGTTTTACTTGAAGATCTTATCGTGACCTTGCCTCAGACACTTACCTTGTAGGAGGTAGCCAAATTGTCTCATGTCCCATTTCTGTCACTACTAATTTGCCTTTGTATCTACAATTAGCACCAATTGATTCAGGCACATGAAGGTCAATTATAAAGTCAAACTCTAAAGAAGAAGGCTCATACAACAAAGCAATTTTGTTTATTTATATGGCAAGAACCTGAAGAATGTCAATGATAATGCATTCTTAGAGTGATAAACTAGGAAAAGGGGAATAATTTCAGACGGAAGACCTTTATTGAAAGGTGTTCAAGCAGATGGGAGTGATTCTCATAGTTTATGTATTCAATTTTCTGAAAACAGGACTCAATGGTAGCCACAGCAAAATGTAATAATATTGCAAGAAATTTATTTCTACTAAATATAATTATGGGAACATTATAATGA